TGATATGATAAAGTATATCATGTCCTATCTTTGCAGATGGTGCTAGAACAGATACTAGCTTTCTCTTGCTTCAATTATAGCAAGCCCCTTGCAATTTCCTTCATATATGAAAGAAAACAGGTGAGCGTTCACTCACCTTTTTTATAGCAGAAGGTGATGAGGTCTGTGATATTTTTAATCCCTGGATGCATATATTCTATTTCAGACCACTCAAAGAGTAAAGTCCAGCATCCCATGCAAACAAGCTCACTCTTGCAAAATAGCACCTTGGATCCTACCTTTTGTGACCTGGCCTGGGATACCTACAAGGCAATCTAAGCCTCTGAAATGAAATATAGTTATCAGCTCAGCTTTTCTGGCACAGCAGAACTCATTACCTGCCTTTTTAAAATAAACAACCACTTGGATATTTTTTTTTTCATGTACAGACTTTCAGAGCAACACAGTGCACTGGGGGTACATCATTCTTTCCCTCTGACAAGAAAGGGGGTGAAATTAAATCATGTGTGACAAGTGTTAGCCGTATTACCTAATGTGCACCGAAATGAACAGCTATTGTACTGCCGAGCACAGTACAATACCACAGGGACAGAGCATGAGCATGAAACAAAGAAAGGGTTAAACAAGTTTTTAAAAAGGGACAAAAGAAAACAAAAAAGAAATCTAAAATATTTTGTTCTAGAAGATGACGATCAGCTCTTGTTTATCCAAACCAGTTTACTCGCACCTACACCAAGCCCACTTGATTTTCCCATAAAGGGCACATATTTAACTCAACCCACAGTACTTAGAGATCATGTTGTTAACTCCATGCTACTTGCTCAGATAGCTTTCAAACAAAGTTCACTTCTGTTTTTTTATGGTGCCAGTGCTGCTGCAATATTACAGTCCCTCGAGAAGGGGAACAATAACACACACTATTGTGATACAAAGAGAGCATACAAACTAATTTCTGCGGCACAGGAGATTACAGGAAATAAACTGCTTACTCCTGCAGAGACAAAGCACGTGGCACCAGCAAAGAATTTTGGTTTGCACGTGGAACAGACAGCAGTTCCTGACACCAAAAATCAAGGACTTAAAACCTACACTTCCATCAGAAAATGTTATAGTTTGCCATACAGTCACAATTTATACAGATTTAAACCATCTGTTTGTTTGTAGCATGTAGCAGCTCTCTCAGATCTTTACAAAAGTTAAGCTGCTAATAAAAGGTCAGTATAAAAATCTTACTTTATATGCAGAATGAATACTTTGCTAACTCTACCTCTTCCCTAACATTCAGGCTTTTTCAAGTATTTGTGGTAGGGAAAATGTAATCAACATTCTTTCAAACAGAAATCTGATTTTAAAGAGTAAAATAGGATTTGCACTGGGAAACACTGGAGGAGGTGCTTCTTACTACATTTGTACTTGACTTAGCTGGGATTTAAGCACATGTTAATGTAATGCATACACTTAACTGCTTTCCTGGCATAAGGGTAACTTCTGTTATGGCAGACAGAAGGATACAGATGGGAAAATGTACTCTGATGATAAACAAAGATCCAGCATACAATTTAGGAGATTTAGTACTGAATGGTCACTAGTTACCAGTACTGACTGGGACTGCAAATACTGCATTAATGGAAATCTGATAAGGAGAAATCTCAGCAAAACTCATACTCCAGACTAACCCAAAGTAGAAACTTTTGGTTTTGTTTTAAGGGGATCTATTCATTTGGTAAAGGAACAAAGGAACAACAGCTTTGTGTTTAATAGCAAACTATCATGCTTGATCTACAGATAAAACATCCCCAAACCTCCCAGTGGATCTACACAGACTAAAAAGCCTGTCGTATGCATGGATTGGAGCCCTGCTTTCCTTTTCCTTCCCAGAGAAACAAAACCCCCCCCTGTTTTATTGAGGCTGTTGCTCCCTTTACCAGTTTCAAGTAGCAGGTGCCATGCTAGTGCACAGTATAGGAGATCTCATACGGCTTAAATCAGGTGACTTCCTAGGCCCCACATACAATGAATGCACCCAGACGTCCCACAACAGAAAGCTTGGAGCTTCTAAGCCAGGCATTTAATGGTCGGCAGTGTAAATCCTCCTGTGCTTTCCCCCATGTGACAGCCCAAGATCTGAAGGCCAGGGCCAGGCCCCCCTTGAGAGTGTTGCCACCAGAGCTGTGTCACAGGATGTCTATGCATTTTTCCTGGCATGCCAGTGCCTAATGTAGAAATTAATATAGTGGCAAAAATAAGTTTCTTTACTATTATAATTTATTTCCATCAGGATAGTAGTATAAACTGCACCAGCAAACGTACAGTCCACAATAAAATGCTTTTGTATGTAGCTGTGACAACAAAGCCGTTAAGTAAATCTAACAGCCTTGTCTAAATGCTTCTGTCAACTCTCTTATTGATAAAATACCTGTTATTGCAGGTTAAGGGGTCTGCTGAACTCATTTGCCCCCGACAGGCTTTACGTATGAACTCCTTTTAGATTTCTTGGCCTCTTTCTGCAGGAAAGTCATAACATTTTAGGAAAAAAAGCCCACTTTCTGTTGCCTTGAAAAGCAATGCCACCAGCAGACTAGGTAGAGATTGCAATTGCGGCCAAGCCCTGGGTCGTGCCACCCAAGAGGACTGGCATGGCTCCTGGGGCAGCTGGCCTTGGCTTGGGGACAGCAGGGCTTGGGGATGGCAGGGCCTTCAGAAAGCAACGAGAAGTCTTGCGCAGCACTGGTGGTACAGGTGGTTATACATTTAGTGAGACAGGAAAAGTTAAGTAGTGTTGGACTCTCTCCACAAAGCCACAGCAACCCACCCATGAAGCTAGCTTTTACATGAATCCTTTACCATCTCAGACCTTTTCTACTCTAATTAAACTGGAGATGAAAACACCTCAGCACCGAGCCAAGTACTGTCAGGACAAATTCTCACAGCTCTCTTTGACTTTAAATAAAGATGCCGCTGCTGAATTTATTCGCTGCAGATTCTGGGAATGCTCATATTAAGATGCCCTTTCCAAAGCCTAAGTCAGTGCCAGTATAGTCTTTAATGGTGCATAGTGGTTCTGCAAATGACTTGCAACTCTTATTCTGCCTCTTCATTTTCTGGCATTGACCTGAAGTGAGAACTCATTGCAGGGGGGCAATTTTTTTGATACCTCTGACGTGGTGATGGGTGGAGACATATAAGTGAAGAGAAAAGCATCTGAGCTAAGTTCCTCTGAACTCTCTTCTACGGCTTGTTACTATTTCCTTTAACAGCTTCACAGTGGCAACACACTGCAGTAAATGCTTAAAATGGATTTTTCTTCCAGGAGATGGGCAAGGTTTTTTCACAGAAACTAACAGTGACAGCAGAATACTACCACAACTGCTCTTGCTGCTATTGCTTTTACAGTCTGGGGTCACCCCAGCTGCACTGTCCATCATTTTGCAGAGACACAAGAAAGTCTTGAGACACAGAAAGTGTTGAGCCACTTTCCACACCCCCAGGATTCAGTTCGGCGTCTTCTGAGCAACCTCTGTTGCTTTCAGCTTTAGCAGCCTAGCAGGAGGACTGTTTTAGGAACATCATTAAGGAAAGACATAGTACTATTAGAAAGTGATACTGTTAGTATGTCCTGGCATTTGAAGTTCTCTGACCGTAGCACAGAAGCAAAAATCAGAGGTGCAGCTGGTCCATGTAAAAAGGGGTATAAATTATATAGGCCTAGAACTGGCTGAACTCAGTTTAGTCTAGCATACCATTTTAGTCATCTTCACTCAAGAAGCATGTGGCTTGCTTGAAAAAGAAGAGCAATTAAAATAAAAAATGTGGAAACATCGTATATGAAGACAGATTGCAGATTTTTTTTCTCTCTCTCCTGTATCTGCCTTGTCAATCTAAATTTCTTCCTGGCATGGCCAAAGCCCTGGTTTTGACTACAGGAATTGCTATGTGAAATCTGCCACTGCCATTTTTCCAGGAGGCAGATATCTTGCTTTTCCTGATCATTTGCAGCTTTAACATTCCATGTATTTTCTTCCTTGATAGCAAGCTAATTTTTATTTTAGTGCAAATCTTTCCATTTGTAAGCATGTAATCAGTTTCTTTGAAGACCAAGTTTATTTTGATCCTTGAGTTTTTCCTGTACAACACACAAATATTCTCTCCCTCTCAGACTTTTTACTCTGATATTTATCTTGTAGTATTTTAATGACTGAGATTAATTATAAGCGCCCAACCCAGGATTCCCTCAACAGTCACCAAATAACTGCAAAAGCAGCACAGGAGGTGACACTCAGGAGAAGCTGAGAGGGGTTACCTCTCATAAATTTGTGTTCTTGTAGCCTGGCCAAGAGCTTCAGGGATGGCAGGGGTCAGGAACCACATATGCAGTCCCAGAAAAAAACATTGTCCAGATGTTCTGACAAAGTCCTCTTAATCTCAGGTGTTCGCGCACGCATGCGCACGCACACACACACCCCCCTCAGAAAAGGAAAGAAATCAGTAATTTGGCTCACAAACAATGGCACGATTGGAAGATACTTTACGTGAGGTCCTTCAGGCGTGAACAGACTTATGTTCCCGTATCTTTATGTGGTTTGATGTGCAGACAATATGATTCTGTGATTATGTCTCGGAAGAGTAGTGAATGAACTTGAATAGCTGTCAGAGTATGTCCATACCCATCATGCCCTCTCCTGCCACTGGCTTCAGAAATAACTATGTGGAATGAAATCTTGGTTTCCTGAGGCAAAAGGCAAATCTTGGACAGAAGTAAAAAATTAGTCCATGGGAGTGCCACAGCCCAAACACCATCTCCTCTGGGGACATCAGCTGCTCTACAAAGCATGAGAAAAGGATGCAGCATGTGAGGACTGTGAAAGGTTGAAGAAGAGTGCGCAGTCCCTCTTCCCCCACCATTCCAGTGTCATCTTTGATACCTCCGAATACAGCCTGACATACCCTTCTTTTCCTTTTCAGTGCTCCTTAGTGACACATCCGGATTTTGCTTACTCACCATGAGGACCACAGTCATTGCAACCTTCTTTGGTAAGTACAGTTGATGTGCTGCAATTAGTAGTTTGTGGGTTTGTACTCTCCTGTCCTGGCTGACCAGTGGCTGCTGGCTTCTTCTCTTCCCTTTGGACTCCATGACTGACAAAGCTCTCAATGGAAGGTAGAGTAAGCCTTGGCACAGCTTTTCAGAAACGGGCTACCCAAACTTCTTGACTTTGGCATAGAAACAGTAGTAATTACTTGCAGAGATCTGTAAGTACATGACCAGCTGCATGCAGTCCATATCAGATGGCACAACTGGCCCTGAAAAATGTCTGCAGTGTAAAGATTCCCTGCAAAGAAAAATCAGCTGTTTCTTATGTGGGAGCATCCCTTCCCAGTTTTTCTCTGTGTTCTTGCTCTTTCCATGAAGAATGTGCCAAAGGAACTATAAATGTGTCTTATTTTCTTTCCCCTGGCAGTCAGACAGGATCTTGCTTTTTGGGAACATGTAGAGACTCCAGAATTTGCAATTGATCTTACATGAACACTCCGGTTGATCGAGCATGATTTCTTAGCGTACTTTACTTACATGTCTCCCTTTGATGGAGATCCAACCACCACGTAGCCTAACAGTGCTGTATGACTCTAATGGTGATATTCCCAGGCAATATTCCCTCTAGCTGAGATCCTCAAGTCTGGCAGGATAGCCATTCTTCATTCAAATTCATAGCTATCTATGTAGCTCATCTGTCTTTACTAAGAGACGAAATTACTTTCTCCACATTAAATCATGCTCTAACATTGCATATAGTTGGGACTTTGCACTTTATTTTCTACTGGTTCGCTCCTTTTTTTTCTAACTACAGTTTTGCCTTGGTTACACAACTGCACCAGGGACAAAAGGCCCCAATACTGCCTCTATACACTGTCACTTCAGACACTGTGAGACTGATTTTTCTTTTGAGCAACTTCTAGGAGTGATTAAGTCTGCAAACTCTGCAACCAGTCTAGGGGTTGAAGAGCATAAAAGAAAGAAGGAAGACTGCTGTTGCATATTCTAGTAAGATTAACTTAATAAACAATGAGAGGATCAGCCAGCACATCATAGAGAGTTTCAATTCCCTCTGAAAGCTCAGAGAAGGGAAAGGTGAATAGGAAAGTCAAGATATTTGTAGTGAAGTTATTAATTACCCATAATATAGTGCTTATAAAATAAGCACAGAGAATGAAGAGTTTTTGTTTGTCATGCACTTAGCAAGTAAACCTAACAAGGTAAGCTGCATGCATATATTGTGATGTATGTTTTAACATAACAGTGTATGTCTCTTTTACTATTACACTTTTCAAACCATAATTCTACTTACTGAAGAAAATCAGTGCCCTTGCTGGGACAGGATACTGGGACATGCCACGCTAGAACCTCATACGATCCGTAATGCTGCCCAGTATCCCATACCCGCTACCACCAGTGAGTGAAATGCCACAACGCACAATTAGAGGATAACCTCCCCACTGGGCTATTAAGAAGGATCTTTCTCTAACTTCCCAGTTGCTTTATGCACAGAGCATATTGTTTCACTGACATCTCTATCACACCGATTACAAAGAGTTTCCACCGCTTGTGGAAATACTGGAGCTTTTCGTGGTTTTCTGGACCACATGGACTCAATGGCATCTTTTGATAGTGAGTTCCACAGATGAATGTGTGAGCTGAACTGATCTTTAATCCCGTTCAAAAAACTGCCCCCCAGTAGATGCCACCTTGACTGTGAAGTTAACCAACAAGTAGAAACCTAGCTGTGGCTGAGAACATTCCCATTTCATTTTTTCAACCTGTCGATTCAAATTTGGGAAATCTCATGCACAGAAGCTTGTGGTGACTGATGTTGATTGTCCCCCTTTTTCCTGATACTATGTTTTCTTTGTTTTAGGTGTGTTTCTTATATGTACATATGCAGCTAAGGAAGCCACAAAGAAGACTAAAAAGGCTAAGCTATGTAAGTGGTCCCAGTAGTATTCTTGGCTGCTTTACAGCAGGCATGTCTGATGCATAAAAAAAGTGCAAAGTGAGGTTGTATTTTGGTAACTCTTCACAATTGTCTGTAGAGTCAATGGGAGCGTATGTTAACTAACAGATTCTTTTACTGAAATTAAATCACTAAGTAAAGTGTGTGCTACTGAATGTGTGTAAAGGGGAAATTGTGTACTTCACTACTAAAATGTGTCTTCATAGGTCATTAGGTACCACACAAGGATCTAAGCAAGCACTAAGGTTTTCACAGAGAGAGAGACATAAATATGTGAAATGGACCTGCTGTAACACAAAGCATATGTAGCTGATTAGCATGAGACAAGTGGTGCATGTCCTATGCACTAGGATGTATAATTTTCAGCTCCTGTAAGAGCATTTCTGTCCACAGATTATTTTGCTCATTTAGTTGACAAACAAGCCTGCTGTGAGGTTGTGAACTCACACTTAAACCCCTTGTTCAAAGTAAATTGTACCCAGCAAATAGTTTTAAAAATTAAGGACAAGATAATGGGCTGTGGCTGCAGCCTGGTGTTATAGATGGCACGGAGCTACATGAGCACAGCGGGAGGCTTGGGAAGCATCCTGCCTCGTGTGTGCACAGTCCTTCCCAGTCCTGACTCACAGCCACCTCTTCCCCTACCCCCTCCTTCCCACACGTTAACCACAGCCTGGGTGACTACATTTCTTTCTCTCTCCAGCAAAGTGTCATAACGGGTATTTCCTTCAGAGATGCAAACATTGAAGGTCAGAAATATCCTCAAGCTTCTTTATTCCACCCTTAGTTACAGCCACATCCCTCGGTCTAGGGGTTGTTTTGTGTTATATTGTAGATGCAGAACACATAGACATGTCTTGTATCACAAAACCATTGATACAAAGGCATAAGAGGAGGGCATCCCTGTCACTCAGCTATTCATTGATTCATGACAAGATCACTCAGCTATGAAAACATTGTTTGACTTTACCAAGATTTTGCACTCACAGATGTACCCCAGATCGATTGTGATGTCAAGGCGGGGAAGATAATCAATCCAGAATTCATTGCAAAATGCCCTCCTGGATGTCAAGATGTAAAATACCGTGTTTATGGCACAGACATTTATGCTTCCTTCTCCAGTGTGTGCAATGCTGCAATTCACAGGTGAGTGAGTTTAAATGAGCAAGGCACTCAGACAAAACCATCATTTCAGTGTATCATTTCAGTGTAGGGAGCTCTCGCCTTTTCAAACCCTTTGAAGTTCCCACTGCCTTGTAGGTTTGATTACAGGCTGTTGTTCTAGTAGAAAACCTGTGAGAAAGACCATGTGCAATGCAATGGATCCAATCTTATAAAGTGCTGTCAGTCCTGTATTCCTACTGAAATCAGTCGTGTTTGAAGACATTTCTCAACCCTTGGAGAAGTGCCTTGAGGTTTGCAGATCTCTCATTCATGCATAGCAAATTACTATTATACTATTATTATTCAAGTGGAAGATAGGGATGGAGCTGCTGCCACTAATAAAGCTTCAGTGAAAAATAGGCATATCACCAGTGATGAACACATACAACTCTCATACTTCTGGGATTGGTTTTGCTTCTCCAGATTTGAATTTAACTGTCCTTGACGTCAAAGGCTGAGTAATGTGCTTTCCTGCCACAGAAAAGGACACTGGACAAGAAAATGTGTAATACAAATTTTATAGCACAAATTTTGCTGCATTAGCCATGCAAAAATGTGTATAAAATTTTAATGGAGAAAAACTTCACAACCAAAACACACCATAATTGTAGGCAGGATGCAGAGGCAGGATGCATTCAGCTGAAAATGCAGTAAGAACTTGTGAAGCCTGATTGACAACTGACTTCACTTGGAGTTATTCGAGCTATTGCAGTGCTTCCAGTTCTGTGAAATAGGTGGAAGCTTGAGTAAAGTTGAATAGTTAAGGATTTGGGACTTTATACCTTGCCTCTGCACTGCGCAGAGCACAGGCTGACGTGCCTGTGTGCATAGGGCTGCCACCTCCTGACTGCAGCTCTGTCTGCTCAGCCCCTTGCTGGGTAGATGACTGCCAGGTGACTGGCTTTCAAATGACAAATTCTTCCTTCAGATGCTAGTGCACGATGGAATTTGTCTCTGCACATAGAGCTTGTCCTAAAGGGAAGTTACAAAATACTGATAGAGACTGCAATTTCCCCCGTAGTTCAAATGCTGGCTGCCCGTATTGTGGCAGTGAGGGTTTCAATTTTCCTCGTTTGCCAGCTGGGTTTCTCTTTGTTAGCTTCTATGTTGCATTTCCGCAGACAGTGAATTTCCTTTCCTTACAGTTATTTTACCAGTAGCTTCTTGCGATCATCAGAGAAAGCTACAGCTCTAACATATTCTTCACCATTGTTTGCTGCCCATTACTTACGTTCCTGCAGTGTCATTATTGCCAGTCCTACCACCCCTCTGGAGTCGCAGTCGTTTTCCTGTTTTGCCTGCTTTCCTAATGATGCCACAGCAGGTTGCATACACTGAAGGTTTTCTGTTTGTCTTGAGATACGTTACATCATATGTCAAACACCATTTAATGTGCACTGCACACGGAGCCTGCCAGGTTTTCAACAGTTTCCAGCAATACTGTGTTCAGTTTACTTCAGGCTGAGGTCAGAACCAGGCTTAGTTTTTTGCAGATAACACATACTGGAACTCAAAGAAAACATTAATTTTTTACAAAAGAAAAAGCCAAGCGAGTGGGAGGTTTGCCTCACATTTGTATTTCTGTCACATGGTTGGCCCAAAAACTCCTCTGAGCACCTCTCCCTGTATCTTCAGTCATTCAATCAATCAAGCTTGCAGGAATTTTAATGAACATAGTGGCTTGTTTTTGTGTGCAACTAGGTCAAACTTAAACACAGGACCAGTAGATCAGTGGGAAGAGCAGACAGATCCCGACAGCACTTTGTAACAAGCTGCTCTTCTCTATGTGGAAGAAGCACAAATATTTCTTAGCAGCAGACTTAGTAGTAGCATCGCAGCTCCACTACACCCCCTGGTTTAAAGGTAAAAGTGAATGCTTCATACCTCTTGCATTGTTGAACAGTTTCTAAGGTTTGGGGGGGAATTTCCACCTTCAGACACCATGTTTTCCCCTTGCAGTGGCATAATTGACAACACAGGCGGGAAGATCCTCGTCCAGAAAGTCGCCGGCCACTCCAGTTACCGCGGGAGCTTCTCCAATGGGGTCCGCTCCCTGTCACTGCCACGCTGGAGGGAGTCCTTCCTCGTGTCAGGTACCGTGGTGGAGCGTCAGAGCCGCCTGCCCTCCCCAGCTGCTCCCCGCTGCCCAACCCAGCTGGGCACCAACGGGCAGAGGGGGAAGCAGCCTTCTCATTTCAAAGACCTGTTTAGTCACTGCAAGTCCACCCCACCCGGCTTTAGCATGAATAATGCATTTGAGACAGTTTTTATTCTGGGCTTTCTGTATAGCCTGCAAAGAGACATACACCCTGCCAGCGGTGTGCTCGGTTCAGGCCAGTGTGGGTCTGAGCCACTGTGGGAGGTGACAGGTGGTCTGGATTGACTCTTTGAAGGCACCTTAACTCCTGCTATCGATGCATAAAATCCAAGCCTTGGTACTGACGGGGAGGTCTTCCTGTTGCACTTGCTCTCCACCCTGGTAGTAGTGCTGCTAAGGGAACTAAAGGGCCTTTTGGCCATTTGAAGCATCCTCAGCCTGCACCTGAGTTCACGTCTTCTGAAGCAGCTTCTGACTTCTGTCAACCCATCTCAAGCCACATACAGCCATACTGTATTTATGCAAATCCTATATTAACCAATTCCATTGGTGCATCCCAAGTATGTTATGAATTCTCCCCAACTCTGTTAACCAAACAGTTTTGGTATCTACTCAATGCCGGCAAATCCATCTAAATTTAATGCTCATTCCTTTTTTCTCCCCATAGTATATACAGCAGCTCACTTCCATTCACTGACAAAATTCACAGATTTTTTTTTTAAATTAGATCCCCTATACACCAGCTTCAGATTATCTTGAACCTAACTTGCACTCATTCTACCTGTGTGAAAGGAGGGTCTAATTTACATTGCTTTACATACAATTTCTAAATCTAACTTCTTGCTGCGTCCATACAGTGGGTCAGTTCTTGCTGGTCCATACTTTTGGAGGTTTAGGATAGGTACGACCAATTGATGTTAGTTAACTATACCATTCCTGGAAAAAATTGACAGTTCAAGCAACTGAACAGCCACTAAAAATGTGGAAATTTGTGGACAGCAAAGGAGGTCCCAGAAACTGACCAAAACCCACTGTCACCTGGAGTTTGCATTAATATATTTGGATGCACTTTTTACAGCATTCTGCCATGGGTACACCACATTATGAGAAGGATTTTTTTTGGATGAGTAGGAACTTCCTGGAATAGCTGAATTGCTACTTGTACTTGTTGCTGTTTTTTCCCCAACAAACAGCACATTGTAATTCTGGTACATAAATGGGAAATAAGATTTTTTTACCTCAGCAGCTGCTCAGTTGTTATCCCATAAAACTGTAGGAATTTTTGATTTATAGTAACAAATCTTTATTCTTAATTAATGAGGCACTATAAAAGAAGATACAAGAGAAAGTTACGAGCACATGTAAGAAGGGATGATGAGGAATCTGGGTATGTGTAGGCATGATGAGAATTATCCCTCAGAATTGTCCCTCATGCACTTAATTTTACACACGCTGAGTGCTCTCACTGATGTCAGTGGAACTACTGAGTTTATAAACTAGCTTAAGCGTAAATCTAACATAATATATATCATATCATATTTCATATATAAATATGAAGAAAACTCTCACTATAACTACTGAAAATGTGGGAATTTTAGAATTCTAGAGAGAAATTTAGAAGACTAAAACCCCAGGAAGGCTGTGCTATTCATCTCAGCAGCCTGAGGCTGAATGCAGACAGATCTCACTCTCAAAAAGAGATGAGTTGGGTTTTTTTTACAATTATGAGTCACAAAAAGACAGAGCTGCATAAAGCATTCCCTGATAAAAATACAAAGTCACCTAAGGCATTAATTCCAGGACAGCTTTAGAGCTTGAATTGAATTCCCTATTCTCCAGCCAAATTCCCTTTCAGCAGACCAGACCCGTATGCGCTACGGTACCCTGGAAATGTGCCAACAGTTTCTTCCTAGTTAGGATATTGTCACCAAGAGTTTGCGATGTTTAAATTGTGAATGAGCATCTGCACAAAAGAGCACAGAAGAGGAATCTTCTGGGGACCCAGGCGATGAAGTGGCATGATTTAGGGGCAGAGGGGGACGAGGCCTGTCCTCTGGGATTAAAGCAGCCAGCACACCAGGAGGTATGCAAATGCGCTGGTATTCACTTTCAAGCAGTGAAATGCCTTGGCACTCACTTGAATGACTCCATTCAGTTTAGTGGGAGTTTTGCAGCTAGTGGGTTAAGAAAATAGAGTCCTAAACCTCTGGGTTTCCTAGTCACAAATAAGCGTGAGACGGTGAGCAGCCACTACCCCGTAGCTTGTACTTCAAGGGCCAGAAGTTGAGGTTTTCAGTCCGCATGTAAACCCATTTTTAAGTATGTTAAGCAAACTCCGACCTAGATGCAATGTTTTCCGGACAGTGGAAAAGACATATTACCATTGCTCCAGAGAGCAAGGCCACATTCAGGTCAGGCTTCAGACCTACCTCTTGATCACACATGGGATGTAAGTTGCTGTTGATCAAAAAACCCGGAGTCCAGGAGCAGTCAGCCCCTGTGCCAGCTAGTTTATTTGCACAGCAGCGGGCTTCAGGTTTGTATTAGAAATCAGATTAGCACAGAAATATTCTAAATTAAAATCAGATTACTATGCTATTGCTGCATCTGTGTTAACAACCACTCATACCTGACAACTCTGCCTCTGTTGGCGATAAAGAAATGCATTTAGAAATCATCTGCAATCCTTAACTTTTCCGTCTTTCTACCAAATTGGTAGAAGAGCTCCGTAGTCCTGCTTGGCTCCTGATCCTGGTTTTGGCTTGGAGGGAAGTGAAAGCGAAGACCTGCTGCCCCTCACTTAGGCCAGCTTCTGTAAGAGACCCAAGGGCAAGGAGGAAGCTCTTTCCAGCTTTCCTTGCATGCTAACTTGCCAGCTCTGATCTTTGGCACATCTGTGTTGACTTCAGTGGAGCTGCTCTCAGTTTATACCACTGTAAATGAGAAATGGATTAGATCCTTAAATCATTACTTCATTAGTATCTAAAACTAACTTCATCTAGGGTTTTTTAATGACATCTGAAATTTCAGAAAGGAATAAAACAAAGGAGAAAGAAACATGAAAATGGACAAAGGACAGCACTTCTCCAGCTCCATGGCCATCCCTGCTCATAGAGGACCAGGTCATCTGGCATATACCCTTCTTTGTGTGCCATCACAGGGGAAATAGCCCCCCGTTCCCAGGAGTGGCTCAGTCTGTAGCAGCTAATTCTGTTCAGTGCTGTTGGTTTCTGGATTAATCACCCAGGATGACAACTGGTGTGCTTGCAGTGCCATATACACCTTCTAAAAGAATCCACCGAAGGAATAAAGGAAAGCAAACCTAGCACCACCATCATGACTCAGGTTTTGCAGGAGGTGGACATAGGTCTCACCTGAGGTGGTCCAGACACATGACACACCACAACATCTTGTAGAGACAGTCACCAGGATCCAGAAGTCCTACATCCACCAACTCATAGAGACCAGAGCAGTCTTCCCTACAAAATATATGGGAATATAAAAACTGCCCCAAGAGATGGATTTGCATGGCCACATGTACCAATAGAGATGGCATGTGATGCGGCACTAAAAAGATTTGTGGTTCAAAGCTTAACTGGGAAACATACCTCATTGTTTTAAGACAGGACCCTCATTTTAGATCTAAATATAGGTAGCACGTGTTCCCACACACAAGCACAACCTTCTTGCACTGTTATTACTGCAAAAGACTGTTGCCAGAAATGGCATGTTGCAAAAGTGAGGTCAGAGAAGAATGCTGTGTGCATGACGGAATGAATCCCACATCAAACATGCTTTCTAACTCAAGTGCATAGTCGGGCACTGGAAAAGGCTGCCTAGGGAGGCTGTGGGTTTAAGAACAGGTTATACAGATGTCCTTCAGGAATGGTCCCCTTATGCTTAACACCATTTGAGAGCAAAGGAATGAACTAACTGACCTCTTCAAATCCTTCCCAGGACTGCGTTTTCATGCTTTCTAACTTTTTTTTTATGATGCTGGATTTAGGAGTTGGTATTTTTAGCGGCACGGGTTTGAGATTCTGCCATCAGATGAAAGAAATCTTCAAGAAAATGAGTTGGGCAGTAAAGAAGTGGAGTCTGATTCTGAACGCACATGTTAGATGGGAGTTTGGTTGCAAGAAAATTTAGAAATTTTTTGTGATGCTTTTTAATGATTTTTTTTCAGAGGGCAAGCCAAGAAAAGGTGTGACATATCCATCAACTCTTGAATATTCTTCTTCAAAAAGCACAGCTGTTAAATCAGGCAAGTAATTATGACTGACTCTCCCTTACATCCATTCACAACTATCTGTTGTAGCTTCTCAGTTGTGTAAGACAAAGATATAATTATTCCAAGTCAGAAGTTAATGCATCCCTTAGTATCTCATCCAAATCCCTCATGGTATTTTTTATGTTAAGCATATGGAAATTATCCCAGGCAATTTCTATTTTTTTGGTCATACCATGTTTCACAGACTTCTGTTCCCAAGTAGCTTCCCCCTTGCTTTAAATCCGTTAGTGAGTATGATGTTGTCCTGATTATATGACAGCATTTGAGGTTTTACATGTTGACTTTCTCCTAATGTTATCTTTTGGGATATTCAACGTTGAGAGTATAATAATGAATAATAATATAATACTAATGACACAGATGGCAATGCACTGCGGCTTTAGCTAAGGATGACATTTTAAGGAACTACTCTGTATAACCATTTTAGTCAGCATCCTACTCTGTAAGACTCAACTCAGTTTAAATAATTTAGTCGTTTTCAGAGGTCTTTGATCAAGTCTTACACTAGGTGGTAGTTGATATTCAAGAGTATGTGAAGTGCCTCCATCACTGAAATGGCACTTTTGTTTGTGCCCCCTGTAACAACTGTGTAATGTTCAGACTCTTCCTTGCGGGTGTGAACAAAAACGAAATTAATGTCTCATACTACTACACACTTCCCTAACACAGCTCTTTTGCTGTTTGCTGAGCCTGAGCCTTCCTGAGCTTATCCTCTGTGAGCTGTGGTATAACAAAATGTGCTGCATCTTCTCCGTGAACTCAAATGCCTGTCAGTGGGTGCATCCCTCCAAGGCCACACAGAGGTTACATGGAGTCCTGCTCTTCTCCTGCCCATTATTGTTTGGTCTGTGGAAGCAAAGCACAGAGCTCTTTCCTCATCTTTAGACTTTTACTTGCACAAAGACACATTTTCATCTGAACACTGTAGTTGTTCAGACAGAATATACATCACTCAAAGCCATGCCTTTAGTTTGCAATACCTTTGTGTTTACAATTAAACAGGTACAGATTTTTGTATGTGTCTTGACCAGGTATGCAGAAATTACTGACCCAAATATACACTGCTAGAAAGGAGGCAGTACCTTAGAAATCTTGGCTTTTTCTAGGAAACAATCACTAACACCACATCTCATCATTCCCAAATGTACCCACACATGAAGTATCAGCCTAAATGTCTCACACCAGACCAGGGACAATCGCAGCCAGGGTAGAGCTCAGCAGGCTGCAAGCAAAGATTTCTTCCACCACTGCTAAAACCCACATTACATGAGAATCAGTACAGGAATGGGGAGCGTTATCAAGTCACGTCTCAGACACGCAAACAACCAGGAGACTCTTCCTGCAGCAAACCAAAGACGCAAGTGGTTTCCTTCACTTTGTTCTTGAATCAAACAGTGTGAATGAAAATGTTAGGATCCTAGCAACAAAGACTGTGCATTCATGCAGAGAAAAGCCAGGGCGATCAAAGGAGCAAATAATAACTGTTACATCAAACTCAGTGATTGAGGACACCACTGCCTTGCTTTGCCCTGCCCTGTCCCACAGGTAGCAAAGAGATCTGATGGTCTCAATCCATCTTCCCTGAGCCCCACTTGGCCCCATCAGCCCTCCTTAGCCCTGCCACCTCAGCCCAGCAATCTCAGCTGTACTCAGCTAGAAACAGCTTGTTCTCAAGATAAAAACCTCTGTAATATGATGCTGGGGCCATCTTGTGATAAAGGATTTCCTACTTATTTCTTAATTTTAAAAAAGCTACCTTTTTCTTCTGTTTTAAACTGTAGGGACCACATTGCACGCTTGGATACTTAAACCCATTATCTGTAGGAGGTAAAGGCAGTCCTTTGAGGATTACACTCACTTGCTGCCGGATTAGCAAAAAATCTTGCTTCACACCTGATCAGCTGTCAGAGATGCAGTTTTGGTCCTCATCCCAGGGGCATCTGGGATAGTGCCTGACATTTCTTTAAATGCTGCTGGTGGTTACAGTGCTTCCCAAATGCTGGGCACAGCAAGAAAAACCTTCCCAAAATTGTAACTATTCACAGCTGGTAAAAACAATCAAAAGCTGTTGTTTTTAAAAATAATAAAAATTTTTAGGAAACCATTAACCCGGGAGTAATTTATCAAATAGGTCAATGCTGCCAAAATAGCTAGAGAACAGAAAAATATGGAAGATCAAAATCCTCCAGTACTCAGTCAGACATAAAAGCAGAGGCAGATTCTTTTGCAGGGTCGCAGTAAACGAACTGTAATAAATGTTCCAAGTACTTTGATGGATTTGGGTCTTAGAAGAAAAAAAGGTCCAAAAAAATCTCCCTTCTCCTTCTAAGCCAGTCCGTGGCATTCAGGATTTGGCCCCATTATGATCTGACAATGTCAGGCAACAAAGAACTACATCTGAATGTGAATTAGTGACTGAAATATTGCATGTTAGCTGGTATTCCCTGAAGACTCTACACACACCATGACCCTGATTCTCAGGACACGCTGCTACTCAGAAGAAAAATCAACAACATGATTCATTAATCTGATGAGTATTGGTTTATTAGTGGTAAAAACCCATATTTATTGCTCACTTCAGAAATTCTATTGACATTGGCAGGAGCTTTTGGGCAGTAAAAATGCCTAAATTTGGCACCAAAAATATGGGGTGACTACTCTCTAGAGGAACCCAGCCGTCACTTTTTCTCACTTGGTGAGAAAGCTCTGATTAGACTGACTGACCTACCTAATGCCAGGTGACGGGATGCCTTCCTTTGGGGACTTATAATCTCTAAATAGGAGACTTAAAATTATTTTCTTCCAGAGCTGCATTTCCTAATGTGCTTAATTTTTCTTCAGAGCCTAAAAAGCCAGAGCAAGACCTAAAAGCTACGAAGAGTGCAGATACCGCTAATGCATCAGAACAAGGTAAGGGTTGGGGATCTCGATGCTCTTTTACAGTATGCCTTCCAGTCTAAACTGCCTGCCGATGCTTATAGGAAGCAGTTTGACACTGGTAACACTTACAGCTTTACCTCCCCTGTCCAACCTCCTCTCTACAGCCTCTTTCCCACCGAATCAATCCCATTACATGAGCACCTGCGACGGTGCTTGAAGGGCATGTGTCAACTCAGAGAGGAGAGGACACCCTCTCAGTTTAATTTCTGCCTGAGCTTTGGGCGAGTTCAGGTGCCATGAACTTCACAAGGCTGCGTTACAGCTCTTGGCAATTTCCTGTGCAGGGCACATGCCCTGCAAACCCTTTGAAGATACTGTGAGGTAGATGGACACCCTGCCTGCGAGAGCACTGGGAATGGCTAGCCCTCGAGAGCCCTCCTCTTGTGTTAAAGGCTCTGCCAGAAACACAGCTAACATGCACCAAGGCAACATCTTTTCTCTGCTCTTACTATGCTGTTTCCTTGGGTTTTCTGCTAATACTGTTAGCTCCCAGCTTCATTGCTCCTTGCAGCCTAGGGTATAAATCCGGCTGATGTGCCTCCTCCCAACTCCAGCAGCACCAGATGACAGGGGAAAGACTCACTGTGCCCTCTGTCTTCTTACTTTTAGCACAGCAGCATGGAGCAGGGCACCATTCAGCCCAAAGAGAGCCATTCATACGGATTTTTTCAGCTGAGTTGTTTTGTTTTTCTTCTGAACTCTCTTTCAGCATTATCCCATTAAAACTGTCTTGAGATCTGAGTTTTTCACTGGCTAGCTTTAGGTGGTAATTAATCCACCAGACAGTTTCATGATGATGCTTTCCAAAAGGAGAACATCCAGCAACAAAATACAAGCTTGTGCTGTGCAGCAATGAATAGACTGCACAACATTCCCTTTCAGTGTGCACAGCATGTCAGGCCATCCCCAGGGCTATGGGCAGGGAGGATAGGAACAAGACTGAGGTGAACGTGGAATATATCTTAGGGCAGTTTTTTGTAGATAGATGGTGAAGGTTCTTTTTCAAGACAATGACTTGAAAGAGCTGTAAGCATGTTAACAATTTCGTATAAGGATATTTAGGATGCAAATTTTGCAACTAGAATTGTCTCTGTTCTCACAACAGATGATACATTTTAAAAGTAGTAGTAACTGTGAGATGAGCCGAAGTTAGATGAAATCGGCACCTCCCAGGTTGTGCTCTCCCCAGCTCCCCTCAGCCAAAGCCCTAACACCCCCTGCTCCCTGAATCACTGTTACCTGAAAGTTTTCTTTCTGCCAAAAGCATTTCAGTGCTGTGGTGGACAACACATATTTTATTCTGGTCTGTGACTCAGAATGGCCATCTTTTCTTTCCAGATGTCAGCTGATTTCCATTTATATGGACTTTCTAACTGCTTAATTCCACTGAGAAAAGATGATGACAAAATGGAAACTGCAACTGGCTGGCTGAACCATTTCATAGGTCTGAGACATCTGTCAGGTTGATAGGTGTTCCTGGCCAAAGCGGAGAAAGTATAGGGGAAACACTAAGGCTACAATAGGCTGTTGTCAGCACCCTCTGGAAAGCGGTGTGATACTGTGTCACACAGGCACTTGTGCTACACAGCCACACAGCATTGGAGGCACTAATGGCTCCACAGATGAGGATGTTTGTAGACACCCTGAGGAGAACACCAGTGGCTGGGTTGCCTTAAACAGTGAGCGCTATTAATGGTGCTTTCATGCATGTCACACATTCAGCTGCAGTGATTGTGTCACACATCCACCTGCAGTGACCGTGTCAATGTTCCTACAGGGGATGCAGTCCGCAAAGAGTATCAGACATCTCCAGTACCAACACCAGCTACACAAATGGCCACCACAACCCCAACACCAACGACCATGATGACGGATCCTTCCACCACAACACCAAAGCCAACGACAACACCTGCAACAACCAGAACCACAACAGTTGCAGCTGCAGCCAAGACTCGAGCCGGGCTGCATAGGGTCAGAGATATAGGTCAGTAGCATGGCTCTTTGAATTGCTTTCCTCCTGACCTACAGCTTTCCTAAAATGTAAGGAACAAGACATGCAGCTGACTATACCATGATTTAGTAAATCATTAATTCAGCAATTTAATGTAGAAATACTAGGAGTGGATAAAGAAACTAATTCCAGCAGATGGGCTGGAGTTAGAGTTGTTGTATAGCCTTCAAGATACATACAAAATCAGTGGGTCTCACATAAACGCAAATGTGTGTAGATGCTCCAAGATGAGAGTTCATCTGCAGTAAGCAGTACAGCTGTGGATGGTCTTTCTACTGGCATATAAATTGATTCATGGGGGAAGTAAGCTCTCCATCCCCAAATGCTGTCATGATTTTCAGGTATAGGAGTCAACAAATCATTCTTTGATTCATGTGTCTGGACTGAGAGTTCAACAAATAAGTCAAGACTCATTTTAGAATTAATTTTGTGATAACTTTCAATAAATGAAAGTTGCAATATATTTTTTGTAACAGCTTTTGAATTTTAAAGATTAAAGCACTGTGAAGGAATTCTCTCGTAATTTTTGCACACCTGGTTTTCCTTAACCTTTTCTTCTCTGTTTATTCTTATTCATTAATTGGGGGTTTTGGTTCAATAGCTGAAAATAAAAATCTCTTATTTTTAGGTTCTAGCAGTATCGACCCAGCATATTCATCTGTGGTAGCTGCAGCATCAAGTAAGTATGGTGAAGAAGTATGTGCCACAAGGCACGCAGTACAGTGTATTTTAAGGCAGCAATGATTCAGTAACCTTTCAAGCCTCAGCAAATTCAGTGACTGCATCCAAGTCTGGATTTAAACAGAAAAACAGACGCTTGGCCTGAATGTCAGAGATGCTGGTCACCCACAGCTCTGGGGAAGCCTTTCTAGTGAATATCTGTGCATTTCAACCTTGACAAATGCTGGGTTTTGCAACACTTGAGACAAAGTTTGTGCTGTTTGAATCATGTTTTCCTATTGCTTACTTCTGTCTTACCCTCTCAAAGGGAGACTTGATTTAGTTGTAAGACACATGATGCAGAGGGCTGCACAGCCATCTAAACTTAGGGCTGAGAGACCTGAAATGCCAACTGATGTTAAACCAATGCTCTTTCGAAAACCTCAGGCTGGGGTTCTGAGTCTGGCATAAATGTGATGTTGTTCCTGGCATGCCACTTGCGTTGTAGACAGCAGAGTGGCGGCTGCTCAGAGCTCTGCATCTCGATGCAGAAGCCTGCTCCCATTCCAGCCCACAGCCTGCAATGCAAGTATTTAAAGGTGTCTTCCCGTACAATGTGTAATTGCTCAGCTGTGTGGTCAAGTAAAGGAGAATATTTTCAACTGTTTTTAAGTTTCTGAGCATGGGGATATGATTGCTTTTGAGTGAAAAGGGAGCAGGGCCATCATTAGGTTTTATGCTCTGTCGCTATTTCTGAGTGCCTTGAACTCAGCTTTGCTCTCACATACGTAACTGCAGCCATCCCTGATGCCAAGTAATTCAGAGCCAAGCACATGGCAGGGCAGGTATCTTTTGGGCAATTCAGGTCTTGAGGGAAAGCATCATTAAGTCAAATTTAGCTGCGAGCCCAGAATAAGGGCAGGGGCTGGAGGGGTTAATCTTTCCAAGTCAAATGTGCAGGTGTGTGTATGGCAGGATTTACAGAAGTGCCAACACAATTCAAAGGGGTTTAAATTCAGTGAGTATCTGCATCATTCGGTACCTAATGTGCCTGTAAGCCTGGTCCTGCTTGTTGCTCTCTTTTCTCTTTCCTATTCCCACAGGCTGAGCACGGAAGAGGCTATTACTGTCTTTACTAGCAATCAGGAAACCCTGTTTGAGGTTCCCCAGTCAGCGAGAGATGCATGTTGAGAGTAAAGTTCTGGCAACACTGAAATCAGTGGGAAGGTTGTATTTGTCTTTGATAAGACCAAATCTTTAGTCAAAAAATGGAAAAAAAAAAAAACAACAAAACACTACTCACTTTTTCAAGTCTTTCAAAAGTCACTTCATCACAATTTGGATCCATGTTTCTTCACAATTTTCTTTACTGAAGTTCTAAACACAAATTAACTCCCAAAAGTTTAAAGTAATCAGACTTAGGGACAGGTTATTGTGAGCTGGAAGAGTGGCGGAGACCTACTTCTGATTTCACACACATCATTTCTAGGACTATGTCCAGCATGTCTGTAATCGGTATCTGGCTTCCTGAATTCTCCTGATCTCTTCTTGATTCTAAAAAAGGAGAACTGGCTAAAAAAAAAAAATACAGAAAGTACAAATACAGTTTTGAAGCAATGACCAGTTTATCAGTTTTCTCTGTCTGAGGAGCCTTTAGGACTCACTCCCGTTATTCAGGCCAGAGTTTCTGATGATGCCATTGGCCTTAACCAGAGTTTGGCTTGACCGGACAGAATCAAATGTTCTCCTGTCCATCTTGGCTCACAAGGACTCGCAGATCTACCTCTCACAGGGCATTGGTAGTTTGCCTGCAAAAGGCACCTCAAAAGTAAATAACCTTGAAATGGAGCACAGTCAGAATGAGCATGGCTGTGGCTGCTGTTAGATCCAGCATTTCCATTTCTAGCCACTAGCACTGGTGAAAGTTCACAGGGGCAAAAGAAAAGCAGGACTTGCCGCTTAGAGCATTAGAGCAGGGGCAAAACTCCTCTGTCCTAGCTCTTGCTCTTCTTTCCTCTTTATCTTCTGTTTGTCAAAGGTACAGAAACAGGAAAAATATCTGAGACTCTCCTCCATCGCAGGACCCCCGCTTTAAAGACTTGATGTGGCAAAACTGCTAAATGAAAAACCACTGATGCGACTAGCATGACATTTGACAGCTTATTCCTATCTGCCCTACTGGCGAGTGTAGCACCTCGCCAGTGCAGTATACAGTAAAGGACGATCCTGAGGGGGAAGCAGCAATGGCAGCAGGCTTTCAAAGTGGATGCAAACTCTCTCCTGCTCTGGGCACAACCTTAATTTCAGCCACGCTCTGGTACAATGACGGCTTCTGCCTCTTTCCAACAGCAGTTAGCCAGGCACGCTCCCAAGGGCCACAAACCCACTTGCCCTCTCCCACCCCAGCTCTTCAAGCAATCCTCTTGCACAGCTGCTTGGACCCTGGATGAGGATTGGGAATAAATCCAGTGCTCCTGTGAACACTGCAGTCATAAGCCGTGTTGCGATCCTCAGTGCCATGCTGAGGCACTGAGCTGGCAACCAAGCATCAGGCAGCGAGTGCCTGGGCATCCAACCACCACCACCACCCCTCCACCACCACTGTGTTTGCCCCAGCCAGCAAAGGCATGGCACAAACCGGCTTGCTGGGGGGTGGTGGTAACACGCCTTTGGGGGGTACAGCTAGAGGGAACAGTCCCAAGGCCCAGCACAGTCAAAAGGAGCATAGAGAGAAATCCAGGTTGCTAACATGGGTGTGGAGGGTAGGGTTAATTCATTTAAAAAGTGGCATAAAATACTTCTGATACTGAGCTAATCTCTCTCTTACCCTCTTGTACTCTCTGTCTACGGACCTTGTAAAGAGTGTTATATACACATTTGGGCTCAGTTGTGGCAAACCCGAAACAAGGCAAGCTCTCAGGCTGAGTTAATTTTCTTCCACCTCTTTGGCACGTACCGATCTGCGTGGAAAGCATGCCCTGCACAACCACATACAACACTGCTGCACAGACAGGCTTTACGCTCCACGGCCCGAAAACCCAGCCTGGGCTACCCGTGGTCCATCCGGAGCCAGAGCTACAAGCTTACAGAGTTTAAAAGCCTTGCCAGTTTTGGCAGATGAGCCTGCTATTTCCTTAAACAGGATCTCTTTGGCTTCTGGAGTTTACAATGTCTCTCAGGAGAGCTCCTAGAAATCCCATCAAAGGGCTCCCAGTGGCCTGTGAGTGTTCGAATTTGGGTCAAACGCAAGCTATTTGCTGTCACCTAATTTTGCAATATCAAGTTCCCAAGGAGCAGCAATTCCTGTTTTCTGAGACAACCATTAAAATGGTCTCGTTTATGATATCTTATTGATGAAAATATCCCAGGGGCCCCTGTCCAGTGTTCACAGGAGTCAGCTAGAACATTCCCCCTGATTTCTCCAGGCTTTGGAATTAATCTTTCTGGGAAAACTAATGAATACAGGCTTGTTAAAGAATAGGTTTGTTAACAAGCTTGTTAAGAATAATTAATGAAATGAAAGGCATGATTAAAGACATGGTTTTCGTCTGCAAATGCTTTGAGCCTTTAGTATTTTTGAACAATGTGAATTTAATAACCCAATCACCTTAAAAAAAAAGCCTTTTGTGTAGACGGTGGTAAAGACATTGCAGACACATGAATTCTCCCACATTATTTTTGTCATCGTCTCATTATTTAAGGCCTGCCTGCTTGCTTGTGTCCGCTCACTCTCTGCAGAAAGGGTAGTATCTGGTGTGGGAGGTCATTTGGGGTTTGGGGCTTTTTTTAACCTCCCTTACACAACCAGCACAATTGGATGGTACTGAAATAGAAATAAACATAGCTAACCAGTGTGAGTGAGAGAAGGAAAGTTATAAGGGAAAGCAAATCACAGCAGTAACTACAAGCCTTTTAAATGCAGACCAGAGACCTGTAAAAGTAATATTCATAGCTGTAGGGAATGCTAACTAGATTAATCTATATGACAGACAAAGCAAGGTAACCCTTTTTTTAAGCTGGCTCAAAATATACAGAGTTAACATCTGAGAAAGTATATTAATGAAAATTCTCTATATATGAACCATTAACTCTGATAGCTATAAAATGAGACTCAGTGAAAAACCCAGGCAGCAGTAGTCCTGAACCAAACGGTATAAATCACGCTTTTCCATTTTGATGTCTACTTAGGACAGGTTCAGGCCGCACAAGGAAGAGGACAGAATACAGGTATGTCTTAAGTTAATAATAACTAGTAATTTGTATTGCTAGAATACTGAAAGCCTTGTGTTGAAGTTACGTGTAATAACCAATGCAATATTTTCAAAGCATTCAGGGGCACTTCCACCTCTGCAAGTAACAGGAATATTTTACGACCCAATACAGGTAACGGCATTACTATCCCTTCTCTAATTCCTCCCTGTAACTAGTTCCACCACTCACATCTACTGAGTCATGCAGTAATGTACTGTTTTTCACCCCTACCACGTTCATAGCAGGATGCAGTGAGAGCAGATATCACACTGGTTATTGCATGACAATAGTGTAACTTTTAGGAAAAAAAAAGAAATGGGAATAATTAAAATTAGAATTGTTCTCAAAATAGTATTCTAAAACCATTTATAAAGGTCTTTTACAACATTTGCTGTTGCAAAATGAGAAGGGAACTTTGTGTCTGTGTATGTTTGGGGGATGAAGGCCTGACCCTGAGAGGAGATGCGTGCTGCTTTCAGTTTCCAGGCCCTGAGCATGATCAGCATCTCAGGACCCACTCCCACTTGTTCCAGTGCACAGGTGTATAGTTATACTGCACAGCATCTACTAACATTTAAACTCTTTTCTTCTGCTTCTGCCAACCTCTGTCAGCTTTTAAATTCCTTTTTTTTAAATCCATAGTTTCCATCTTCCTTTTCCATTTGGTTTGAAAACGTGCAGAAAGAGAGTTTGGGGCCACCACATCCCTTGCGATCGTGCTTCTCTCTCCTCGCCCACTGGCGTCTAACCTCTCGCCTCTTTGTCGGATCATGCAGGTATTCAGCGCCAAGAGCCTGTTGCCGCCTTCTGGAGGGCCACCGGCTCTCCAGCCCACCTGGGTGAGCAAGATTGCTAGCAGCAGATTTTCTGCTCTCTTTCATAGTTTTAGCAACCTAAAATTAGCCCTCAAGCAGTACTGCAGATTGTTTTCATGTGTCCTGGAGGAGGACCAGGGCAAGCCTTGCGCACTGAATGCCAACTAGCAGCTTCCTGAATGCGAAAGGCAAAGGACAGCTCGGTCACTGGCGAGCTCTTGTTTCAGGCTGTGGGAATCAACATCTACTGCAGTGTTTGCAATTTTCCTTATTTGTTAGTCAAGATGAGGAACAAAAAACCAGCTCTGTGCCGGCTATCAGGTCTGTGGAGCTAAATCTTCTGTTTCTGTTGTTCGCAGGAGCCTCCAGGCTGATTGCGACTGTAGAGGTTGCCTTTAATACTGAATGTAGAAACATCACCTGTACTTTCTTTCTTCCCTGACTGTGCAATTCACCATCCTTCACCAGCGAGCAGCCTTGTCAGTGGGTGCTCTGCAAGGCCACCGACAACTTCCCAGGGCTCCAGAGCACTCAGTACACATACAAACACTAACACTCCCTTGACGGGACAGCAAAGTTTCTCAGAGACGGATTTTGCCTGGGAGCAGCCAGAGCAGGGTGAGGGATGGGAGCCGGGGTGGCAGCAAGGCAGGCAGGGCTGCCCCTTGCTGACAAGGGCTGCAGCCCCACAGAGCCCCAACAAGAAGAGCAGAGCAGGTCCAGTGGTGGTACCTGGGGCTAGCCGACAGCCCAGGCTACCAGGCAAGTCCCCAGCAATGAGGCAGGTCTGACCGAGGCAGGACACCAGACCAGCAAGGCAGAGTCAGGATCAGGATAGCAAGGTACAAGACTAGGCACAGATGGAAGGAGCAAAGGCAAGGGTATGCGCTTACGTGCTTGTCCCCGAGCAGCCCGGGTGGAGGCCCCAACGGATGCTTCCCACAGCCCTTGCTCACCAGTGCACCCAAGCCTGGGCCAGGGCAACAGAGCTGTGCTGCAGGGGAGCTGACCTTGAGCACAAGCAGCCAAACCCCCTGGGGAGGGAGAAGCTGCAGAGCCTGACAGTGCCCCCAGGGCCCTGAGGGTTTTGGCAAGACCTGGGAAGAACGGGAGGAGTATTGCAACAGGACAGAGCAACGTGGTCGTTGATGTTGAGGTTAGAGGACTTTATTATGCTAGTGTTATGCCAGCAGGACTTTGTGGATAATATGGGCCAAGTAAGTTTACCCAGCAATCTCCCCATCAAAATAACAATTTGTAGTTGATCTAGTTGCAGCATATTTAAAATGGATACACTCCTCCTCCTAAGATTTACTGTTCCCTCACTTTTATACCTCTCCTCCTTGTTTCAGTCTCCTTCTCTTCCCTCTGGTTTCCATCCGTGTTTGTCTTTCTCATACCCTTTTGGCCATACCGATGTCACAGCCATTTCTTTTTTTTCGAATCTCACGGTTTTCGTGCTCCCCGACTCCCTTTGCTCTTATCAAAATCCAGTGCCCACCTTTAGAGGGGAGACAGGGGTGCAATATTTGCCTGTGCAGAACAGCAGAGCAAATATGCTGCCTGTAAACATGCCAGTCATGGCAATGCACTAATTACGTGACACCACATATAGGGCAGGGATAGCCTGTGATGACAGACCTGCCTTCCTGGCAAGGCTGAAATGGGAAGAGCCCTAACATCTGGACCAAAGGATGTGCTGGCTAATCATCAGGCTAGCCAAATCTTTGCCAGAGAAGCAGGGGAACACAGTGCTGAGTCTTGTTTAAATCAAAGTGAGAGTTTGACCCCACCTAATTGCTTAAGGCACCTTAAGGTCCCCCCAGAGATAATTACAAAGCACAAGCTTTCCATCATGAATGATTCTGTTTTCTCCATCGCAGAACAAGAAGGGAAAAACCCACAAACACATACTTGCTATATTCCCAATGAGTCCTGATCTTTTTTTCAGCCCAGGTTTTGGCAGCTCGGATGTGTTGCTTCCAAGCAGCCAATTTTTCTAACGATCAAAGGGAAATTCCTGAACAACTCCTTGCTTTCTTGGAAAGGAGAGTTGTTTTTCTTGATCCTACCAAGCACGCGCACGCTGCTCTGCAAACAACAGTGATCAGTTCTGCGGGTTTGGCCAGGCTGTCGAGGAACTTCCTCTCATCGGCTCAGGTTAGCAAAAGGGTGTGCTGGGAAAACACCCATCCCAACGCACTGGTTGCCTGCGTAGCTTCTTGCTGTACAATCTTCAGAAGGTCTCAACTCTTCCAAGCTCTTAACAATGCACATTAACTCTCTTGAAATCCTATACTCACTTAGCCCAGAATTTTTTTCAAGACAATTATACTGAAGAGTTGTGGTGGTGGTGTCTTTTTTTTTTTTTTTTTTTTTAAAGACCAGTCTTGGAGTATTTTAAATATCAACCCTTGATTTCTATGGGCATCATCAAGTGGAAAAACCAAAAAAAAAGCCCTAGCTACTTATAAGAATAATCATTTCCCTTTCAGATACGTATTCCATTGAAAGCTTGCTTTGTTATGTGTCTAGGACTACATGCAAGAAATACAGCTTTTGCCTGGATTTACAGGTCACTCAGAAAGCTGTATATTCTGCATATTTGCAGCCAGCTACCCAAAACCCTTGGCACTTATCTAGTGCTTTTCTTCATTAAGAAGGAAAAAACAGGGGCTTTCTCACCACAGAAAGTTTTAAAAGGGTGTGAGCCACGAGAAGGCTGCTCGAAGAAGCATCAGACAGCTCTCACCCATAGGGATTTGGACAGACTAGAGCACCTGTGGTCACCTGAGTTGAAGTGGTTCTTGAGAAGAGTGAATCTAGAAAAACTTCAGCATTGCTCCTACTGACAAAAAGCAGTCTTTTCCTGGAGTTACCAAAAAGCATCTGCCTGCTTTTTTTTGAGCTTAAACCATCAGAGAAGTTAGAGGAGCCTGTGCTGCAGTCACTGAGGATAGTCCCTGGCAAGGAGCTGGCAGCAGACGCAGACCTGTAATAAGTGGGAAAGGCACGTCCCCTTGCTCGTGTCATTCAGCTCACATCCCTGCTTACAAAGGCAGATCTTTGCACGGTTCCTTGGCTGGTTGCACCTGCAGTGCAGTTCCTACTGCTTTAAGCACCTTTTCCCCCTGCAACTCAGAGCAACATATTTGTACAGAAGACTCAAGAAGTCTGGGATCTTTTTCATGATTTGCTCCTTGGCTGGCTTTTTCAGCTGGTCAGGCTGAAAAGTAGCTTCATATGAATCTTTCTTTTCACAGTCACTCTGCCCCGGGAGGGTGAAGCACACCTTTTGAGATTATCTACTCACAAGCTGGTTTCACTGAAATCTGTTGTTGTTCTCAGTGACAGCATTCAGGAGACACGTTGGCCACTCTGATAACAAACAAGCACCAGCTCTTCTTTATGGATAGGGTCCTCTTGCTCTGCAACCAGCACCCCTCGCTCCAGTCGCTGCTGTTTCCTTATGACTCCGCTGAGGGATGTACAAAATTCTGCCAAATGACCCTGCCCAGGTGGATGATAAACTAGTAATATTCCTCCTGTCTTTCCTCTTGTTTCCTTCCCTGTTACCCAGGCCTGCCCTTCCTTTACCCTACCTCTCCTCCTAAGCAAAATCACAGCAAGACTTCTGTGTGTATCATGACTGAATTCTCAGCCCTTCACTTCCCTCAGTTTTTAGATTCTTTATAGGGTGTCTAAGCAGCGCTCAGAATAAGGAGGGAAGGGGGTCTGGAAAAATTGCCTTAGCAATGAAACATGATGGGGTTCCTCCTACCCTAAGGGAGACCACACATCTTAATCAGTCATCTGTCTCATGCAACAAGTCTCCCTCCCAAAGAGAAGCTGATAGCTCCTCGCTGGGATGGCAACCTAAGGGCAAGGTCAATGCTCTCATTAGGCTGGAGGACACTGGCAAGTCCATGACTTTTTCCAAGCCTACATTGTGGTTCACCCACCAGCTCTAGTCAAGAGCACACCAGCTGCCAGTCTGGGTAGGAAAACTCGGGCGTGGGAGACAGTATGGATTCAGTGGGCCTGAGATATATGTCTTTGTAAACCACTCTGAACAAACCCGGAGATGGACTGTCAGGGGCCAAGGCTCTCACCAGTGCTCCTTGGTACTCTTCTTGTCCTAGTCGGCTGCAAGGGCTTTCATCTGGCTGTAACCCAGAGTAAAACATCACTTTTGGGGAAAGAACTTCAGCAGGCTCCAAAAACAAAGACACTTTGGGGTTTATTTATGAAAGCAGCAATTTTGATGACATTTTCCATGCCTGATAAGCTGCAAGCAAAATGTAGAAAACTTCCTTGTGTTTGGATGGGTTGAGGGGATAGAAAAATCCATAGATGAGAGGTACTTACAGATTTTCAGCAGAAAACAATCTTAGCCAAGCAAAAGTATACTGAAGTCAGTATACTTGCCTGAGTATCAGTGAAATTTAGAGGAACATGACCAAAACAGATCTAAAGAGGTGTATTTAAAATCATAAAAAAGATTAGTGCTCTGGAGGCAGTGATACGAAGCTCCTAAATATGGCTTGAAATGTGCATATAAAGGTTTCCAGGTTTACTGATTTCCTTAGGTCCTAGTTGTTAATGATAATTCACTGTATGAACTGACCTTTCTAAATTGAGTCAGAGCTTTGTAATCTCCTGTTATTCCATTATTTTTGGTAATAATTTTTCTTCTCTTTCATGTGTGAAAGCAGTGGAAACAGACTCGTGGAAACCTGGATTGAGCCTTTTTGACACAGGTAAATATTTAAAGCATCCAGTAACTAGTCTGGGAATAATTGGTTTCCATCACACATGGGAAAAGCTAACTCTATTAATCAGGCCCATGACACTACTGATAACAATCTCATTTTACGGAGTAATTACAGTATTTAAAATTATAAATGAGGTATGTAGTTTACATCTTAGGAGTTAAAATTATTCTGTGCTTGCATCAGTCTCGAATTCCTGCCTAAAGCAGGAGCAGAACAGATGAGCTCCGGAAAGAGTTGGCAGCTACACTGCAGGAAAGGGGTTCTATCTACTGAAATCCATTTGTAAGTAAGAAGGTATTTTGGGAATGCCACAGCTGGGATAGCAGTCTAGAGTTGCAATCAATGAAGAAGATGACAGATTATTCTGATGTCAATGTACTTAGCAAAGACACTCAAATAAGAAAAGGAGGGTTTAAGCTGAGCATAAAGAATAATGAGCATCGTTGAAATTTTCTGACATTTTAGCCTTAAAAACTGACAATACGGAGATTACAACATTTTTATAATTACTGGCGAGTGAGGGGAAAAAAACCTACATTTGTAGCAGGCTCAATTAGCAACAAGACCAAGACTTGCGCAACCCTTAATCAGGAGCTGTTACCAACTGCAGATTCTACATGTTCAATATTTAAGGGATCCCTTTCCTTGGGAACATTTAAAGCAGACTACACAAACTACAGACCGATTCATTACAGGGTACTCTCTCTCTTACGAGGGGCTGGACCATCCAATATAAGATGTCTTTTCCATCACTGGTTTTGTTGCTGGAGAGGACTGTGCTGGTGGCCCTCGTAAAGACCATTCCTTTGAACACTCTGCTTACTTCAAAGCTGAGGCATGACTAATCCTTGGCACTGGCTGTGACGAGCAGCATAGCCCATATGCATTAGCTTGCAAATCCAGTGTCAGCAGCCACCGTCAAAATTTGCATCATCCCAAACATTGAACAGATCTCCCTTCTCCAGCAGCGGCAGTCTGAGCCAGAGAGAGGAAGCGTTTCCCTCTGCTGTAGCTTAAGCCGTCGGTGTGCTTATTTAGAAAAAAGCTACAACACTAGGGCCAGGGGTGCAGGGGGGTATTTTGAGGCAGAAAATGACAGATTGCATTAAATGCAATGAGAGGTTGGGCATGGGGGAAGGGATGTTGTATTAATAGTTTCTCAGCAACTGAAGTGCCTGCGTAGACTAGTGTGATAAAGTCTGATGAATTTAGATTGTCACTTCAAAGGAAAGGTTTCTAGTGTGGACGTAGGCACTGCTGTCTTACTTAAATGAATGGGAAATTTAATCAGCATGGACAGCTGTGACAATCGGTGAAGGGAACTTTAATTAGCATGGAGTAGACTGCCCATGCAGCAAGTTGAAATTCCCATGGCAATAACAACATTAAATTGGACTGGCGGAACAGGGAGGCCCATAGAGACTGACCACCTCCCCAATTAGTTGGGGAAGATTATTTGGTGGGTAACCTTATTGTTACACTGAGCACAAATCAGCCAGCTGACCCACAACCTTCAAGAACTGGTAATTGCACTGGCAAATAAAAATGAAAAGTGCTGCCATCGCCTACACTTGGGTTTCCCATACCGACAAAGCTAATGTCAGCTGTATGCCTGGGTAAGGAATATGGATTTTATTGGATGCAGATAAATGCATGAGGCAAATAACTATGAATTAGCTTCCCTATACAATTTAATTCCTAAAATGAATGGCACATGTTAATATCTAATGTCGCTATGGTGTTAAAACCACCTACTTTCTGTTCTGCAAATAAGGCAAGCGGGGGGAACTGCACATATGGGATACCAAGTTGGCACATATGAGGTATGTGGTGTGCAGGCTGCAGGATGAAGCGTGGCTTTGGTCTATTACCGAGGAACGGTTATGTGCCTGTGTAATTAAAGCCTGTACTGGAACACACACAGTCAGGAGGGCAAGCTGCCGACCATTTCAGGTTTTAAAGAAAAAAACATGATCATTCTCATCCACATGGTTGACAAAGAGCGGCTACGTATGGGTCCAAGTCATTGCTTCCTTTGTCTGTCTCTCTCTCTCTCATGTCACCCATAGTTTCTGCATCAGATAAACCCACCATAAGCAGCCAGTACTGCCAGCAAAAACAGCCGTCTTGCCTCACAGCCACCCTCTGCCCAGGCACCTGTGTGGCCAGACAGTGAGCTGCATCAGGGAGCTGGCCCAGCCCATCATTAACCTTTTTCTTTCTTTCCAGTTTAACGCCGCTCTTTCCTCCTTCTCCTTGCGTCCCACCAACACCGGGCAGGCACGGGGGCTGGTAGCAGGGCAGGAGCAGGCGAGAGGGTGCCTGGTGAGAGGAGAGCTCTGCCTTTGGGTGGTGGGGCTGCTTTGCACCTCCTGAAAGTGTCCTTGGGACTGTGCCTGCAGGCATTTACACACAGGCAAAGCAAGGGCAAAGAGGGGGCACTGCCAAATCATACTGGCGAGCTTTTCCCCTCCCAGGTTTGGGAGGCTGTGGCTGCTGGTGGAGTGGCAGGGTCACCAGATGCAAGTGCACAGCCTAGCCTCAGCCTGCAAGAAACAGTTGGCCCCGTGGCCACTTCGTTCAAAATGCTCTCCTGCAGCTCCTTCTCCTTTGCTTTACTTTGCCTGGCTGCTGAACTGCCCTCCTTCGCGGTTTAAAGAACAGCCACAGACACACACCAGCCTAAGCCCAAAATTCACTCTCCTCCTCTAACCCTGTCCTGTTTCCCCTCCCTGTGCCGCTGCAGCTTGCACCTCTTGCCACTGGTGGCTCCCCAGGTCACACTCATGCCTCTCCATGCCTGCTGGTGGTGGGTTTGCTCCCATCAAGTATTTTCAATTAAAATACCCCTCAGTCACCCATACCCCACAATGCCTCACATGACAGAGGGTTTATCTGTCGGGACCAGCAGCTGCACCTCTACAAGATTTGCCTTGTGCCCTTCCTCAGGCCAAAGGCAGATTTCGTCCCTGGCAGCAAGACTTTCAGGCCTGGGACAGGTCAGAAATGTTTGCTGCAGCAGATGTCACTGGACAGAGCTGTTTTGCGTCACCCCTGTTCCAAAAACATCACTTTTCCTCAGTCAGGAGTCAGTGCCCAGTCTCAGGCAGCGCTGCCCCAGCACCACCACTCTGCCTCCCCCTGCTGATGTTTCCCCCATCCAAATGGGCCTCCTGTGGGCAAGCGCACACCACCAGGAGCCCCTCTCCCCTGTTCCTTGCCTGGGAGCTCATCCCAGGTATAGAACGAGGGGCGAGACAAGAGGCACAAGCCAGCAACGTGCTGGACAACAGCTCCAGCCGGGAGGGACGAAGCCAGGCGGAGCCTGGCTCATCAGCCTGCCTTCCAACGGGGCCAGCCTGCTCTGGCAGGAGAGGGCTGGCTCCACTAACCGTGGGGGTGAGGCGTTTCTGGCACAAGAGCCAGTGTTGGGATGGATGGAGAGCCCCTGTGCTCTGTCCAGGAAGTATGTGCTCCAAAGCTTGGGTAGGAGCACAGGGAGGCTGCACGTGGGGGCTGCAGGCACTGCAGGGCACCACGTGGGCCATGACAAAAAGCGACACCAGCACTGGGGCTGTCCTAACCCGGCTGGTCATAGCCAGGGAAATTCTCAAACAAAACACACAAAGAAATCAGTAGCTCTTGCCATAAACACAGTAGGGCTAATCTTTGTGCCCTTTACCTATTTCGTTCACACGTGACCACGTGGGCTCCTGTACTGGGCCAAGCCCAGTGCTCCAGCTATCTTAGTGTCCCATCTCTAGCAACAGGCAACAACAGATGCCTGGGGAGGAGCAAAGCAGAGGGAAATCACACAGTGCTGCTGTTAGCAGGTCTGTTTAGTCCCTGCAGCAGAAATTTTCTTCACTGGCAGCTGAATTTAAAAACAAGAAGCCAAAGCAACCTTTCTGTCCCGTTAAGGATGCTGCAGTGTGCTATAGCCTTCCGGCAGGGGAACAAGCATCAGGCCAGCTTTACGTTAGGCACTACATATTCAGACTTAATACAAACTTGGCCCCGACCCAAACCTATGCGCAGCTTTCAGCATGCAGGTGGAAGGACTCATAGTAGTTGTATTTGCCCCTTATGAGTTGTGGATCAGTAGATGTAACTGGAATGGAAATAGGAGTGGTGATGGAAGGAGCTGGAGCGGGTATTTCCTCCCATTTTCTTGGCTGTTTTCTGCATTATTATGGCTTGGTCATTAATATCTTTAGCAACCAGCTTAGGCAGTGCATCCGCTTAGAGCTGTTACACCTCCCATCATATTTAGGTGGTGACCTTTGCTGATGTCCCTTTGCCACCTTCTCTCTTTACATACACTGATGCTTTCATGCTTGGCTTGCTCATGGCTGGCTGCTGTGGAGAGACAAACTCTGTGGCACCTAGTAATTTCTTATCTTTTTTCTATATTAAGCTCACACTTTCTAAACTTACCTTCTTACTGTCTCTCTGAAGTCTGTAGTCGTTCCTCGACTTATTTGGTGATGAAGATTTAAGGAAGTCTTTCTCCTCCTTTTTTTATAAAAATTAATATGCAGTTTACACAAATAATAAGCCATTCTGCTGTTCTTTCAACCAACTGCTTCATTGGTGAGTGTCTGGTTTGGGGCTTGTCTGATCATTGCTGTCTCTTCTGAGGATTATCCCAGCTAAATCCCCTTTATCTTGTCATGCTGTAGCGAAAAGAAACAGCTCTTTGCCCTTGCTCAGGAGGGAGATGCTGTACTGTAGGAGACTCTCACCAGACATTCAAGTCATGAGTGAAGTTCAGCATTTTCAAACATTCTGACGCCAGCCTGATGATGCCCTGTGCATCTCACAAGGACATAAATGTATGTTCCCAAGGCTGCTACCATCCAAATATCTCAGGGCCTCAGCTAAAATCCACTAGTGACCTGTGAGACTGTTTCCCATGACTGGACTGTAGCGCTCTGCCACCATTTACCCTGTTTCTTTTGTGCTCTCCAAAATAACTCAGTCCTCCAGGAGCACGTGAGGAGCTGTGGCTTGCATTGCTTCCCCGGCTGTAACACGGCGGGGTGAGTCGCTGCCCGTGCCTTCCTCTCCAGACAGAAAAGCAACGTGTTAAATCTGTTGCTCATCTGCTTCGGACATTGTGCAGCTCATTGTAAAGCACGGGTGAAGCATGGCAAGCCAGCGGGGTGGCAGCGCCGGTTCTCTCATGGGCAAAGTGCTGGAAGGTCACCACCCCGCACCATGGCCACCAGCCTCTGCACCTGAGGAACCCTCTACTTACGCATGTTGCTCTCAAGCCCTCGCAGTGAGGGAACTGACTCGCAAAGGGGAGTCAAAGTCGGTGCTTGGAGAGATTTTAGTGACACTTCTAGAAATGCCTCCACTCTTCTTTTATCCCAGAAGCGATGTAGGTGGAAAAAGGTAAGCTCCAAGCATCTGCTCCCCATCCTTGTTTCCCTCCCATGTCAGCCCTCAGGCCAGCGGGGCTCTGCAGCCACCCCGTTGCCTGCTTCCTTCCAGAGTGAGGGCAGCCACCGAGCACACACCGATGGAGCCTTTCCTTCCTCTCTCTAGGCTTCAGTTCAAAGGAAGAATTGAATCCAAAGCCGCTGGAGTCCATCTCCCAGGGGAACCCAAGTATGTACTTCAGAATTAATTTCATAATTAAGTGATGCCGTTTTATTAATTACACGTTGCTAGAATGCATTCAAATTAAATAACAAAAGGTACGTTTTCAAGAAAGCCTAAGAAACTCGAGGAACGGAGTTTTCCCTTGCAGAGGAACAGCGAGCGCTCTCCGCCAATCCCTCTCATATATGTAATTGCTTTTTGCTTCTACAGGGAAGGAAATAACAGCCAAGATTTAGCTTACCTGGGCAGGGAGATGGTGGCTGCTCACTGCTACCTCTTCCCGGGCAGTATCGGTTCCACGTTCTTGGGGCACAGAGCTTCACTCAGGGACTTTGATGGCGGAGAACAGCAAACCAATGTGTTGCGGCCAGGGTTAGATGAGCGAGCTCTGCTGACCAGAGCAGCTCCCGTGGCTATGCTGAGCGCAGGCACCCTTCCCACAGCAGCGGGTGGGAGGGAAGGAAACCACCTGAGAAAGGGACCTGACACCTGCTGCAGCAGCAGCAAGGAGAGAGGGGGTGCAGAGGGAGCATCGAGGATCCCTCAGTCCGGGGATGGAGATGTAGGGTCCCCTGCTCTGAAAAGGAAATCTTCTACAGCCCTTTATAATTAAAGGCAGATTTGCCCATTAACTCATCTTTAGATGGGGCCCAGAGTAGAAGGAGAAAGAGAAAGCAAGCTCTGAGTGAAGAGATGGGGGTCTTCCACTGCCTCCTCAAGGGAAGCCACCCTGGAGAGGGGGCTTCACCCTCCCACTGGCGCCTGGGTCCTTTCTTGCTCATCCTCCAGCAGCTGAACGCCGTCTCTCACAGAACTGGTGTTTCAAGGACTCTTCACATTAACTACTGAACCAAACGTTTATATATTCCCAGGCGTTCCTCCTAATGCTTAAAAGTAATTTTTTTCCCTATCAAAGATGTCAAATACACCTAAAACTGATACAGAAATAAGAGAAAGAAGAAGAAAAGGGGAAGGATCTGCCCTACAGACCCAGTTGCACTGCAGGAAAGCAGAGCTCAGTGTAGCAGAGGCGCAGGCAAGCACAGCTATGTTTCCAGCAGTTGAACTGAGATAAGGCACATCAGAATCAAAACTCTCATCCCGCTGATACCTCTAGGACCATAAAAGCTATAGCTCATGTCTTGCCTCCCTGCAAATCAGAAAGCGCTCAGCTCCCTACAGAGCACCTTTAGCCTGTGCTCTTGCAGAGTCCCACTCCGGCTGTCTGAATCCTCCCCAGAAATCAAGTCTGTATATAAGTGTATGTAAATCTTTGCATGCCCAGACCCTGCTGGCTAACAAACTCCCCACTTTCCACATATAGACCACATGGTGCAGCTCCCTTTGAGGGACAGGAAATTCAGGAAAACTTGGCCGTTAATTGAGGTATTATTTATTGTGGGTTCCCGGCCTTGCCTCACGATCTGCTGTGAACGAACACGGTTCTCAGTCACGCTTCTATAATTCAGCATTATTAAAATTAGAAAAACAGACAGCTACGGGAGAAAAAAATTGAAGGTAATGAGATGGGAGGCAGTTGCATAAGCCAGTAAGAACAATTGGCGCTTTGTAGCCTTCGGGCTACCTAATGATTAAAACACACTATTTTGGACAGTCTGATTGGTAGGAGGCATCATCGGAGGGAAATCAAGAGATGGGGATGACCCGGACACCGGAGGGGGAAAATGTTAATTAGCGCTCTAGTTAAGCCAAACTTTGATCCCACTCCTGGTCGCAGCCCAACCGATGAATGTTTTACCACTAACTTGCAGAGACGTAAAAGCAGGCTGGCAGTGAAGACGACAGCATTCGCAGAAGCACAAAGATGAGGTTCATCTGTGTAATTAGAGGGAAGAGTTTGGGTGCAGGTGTAGCTTTTCTAGAATATCGCTTTCAGCCCAGAGAGACAACAAACAGCAGCACACTGCTGCTGCTGCACACACAGGTACAAGCCTACAGCTACATGCAAAAAGAGCCCCCGCTCAGTCTGAACACACCAAGCGAAATCATCATCCCCCATGTTAGCTCCAGCCCAGAATGAAGCTGCCGAACGATTCTCATTCGGAAGCGCAGAGTTGCCAGGATTGCCGTCAGCAGCAACTTGAAGATACCCCACGATGTCCTTTGCCCCTTTTTGGTTGAGCTTGCGCAGCAGGACAAGTCACTGGATGCAGACTTTTTAGGCCTTTGCTCCTCACGAGAAGCACAGTTATCAGAAAGGACCAAAAATATTTCCCATGTTTCTGTGTGTCTCCTCAGATTGTTTTGTTGATTTGTCCTTCTTGATGGATGGGAGCTGGAGCATCGGTAAACGCCGCTTTCAGCTCCAGAAGCAGTTCCTCAGTAACATGGCTCAAGCCCTTGGCATCAGCAGCACTGGTCCTCTGATGGGCATCGTTCAGTATGGGTAAGAGCTTGTCATGCAGCTACTCCCATTGCCACAGGGCACGACTGCACACTCTGGCAGCTGTAGCTCTGCAGCTGATGCGTGCTAAAGGTCTCACTCCAGCTTGTACTCAGGAGCTGAGTAGCACAGAGGGGTCCTACAGCTTTTGTATTGTTGCATGTGAAGTAAAAAACTGACAATTGCTCTCATTTCTTCTTTTAGCAATGACCCTTCCACAGAATTTAACTTAAAAACTTATACCAACTCCAAGGACCTAAGAAATGCCATTGAGAAGATCCCACAGAAAGGTGGACTTTCCAACGTTGGTAGGTGATGGGGCTGCTTGCACATCCCCAGCTCGTGGAAGGGTCCGGAGCCTGGGCTGTAGCGAGCCCACACCTCCTTACTGGGTACGGAGGCTGTGACCGAACAGTGCTCAGCGCTAGGGCAGGGCTGCTGAGGAGGTACCACTCCCACCGTGACCTGCCCGCATTGGTCCAGGGTGCTGCGAATCCATCACAAGTGGACAGGATTTACCTTTCTCCTTGTGGGCAGGTCACACTGACATGTCGGGGATCCTTGCTAACCCAGCTTGTCACTCCCAGCCCCTCTGGGGCACGGGGAGGGGGCAGATGGGGTTCAGCGCAGGAGAGCTCAGGAGGCACTGGCACCAACAGCACCGACCTCCCCTCCTGCTCGCACAGCCACAGAAACCGCTTTCCCCAGCTCGTGGCAGGGCTCCAACACTTGAATCAGCCCTCTGATTCATGAGATATTATCAGGCAGAGTGCTTCCAGAGCTGTAACTCATCCTCATCTCTTTTTTTCCAGGGAAGGCACTTTCATTTGTTAACAAAAACTTCTTTTCGGATGCTAATGGAAACCGAGGTGGAGCACCCAATGTGGTTGTAGTGATGGTGGACGGGTGGCCGACCGACCGAGTAGAGGAGGCCTCCAGGCTGGCCAGAGAATCAGGGATCAACATTTTCTTCGTCACTATTGAAGCAGCTGCTGAAAGTGAGAAGCAGAACATTATGGAACCAAACTTTGTGGACAAGGTACTTACTGGGCTGGGCTCTGGCTGGGAGCTTGGCTCTGACTACATTTTCCAAGCTGTTTCATTCTGGGCATTTCCCTTTCCTTCTTACCACTTATGGTTATTTCTTGTCCTGCTTATACTGTCTCGAGGTCTCCTGCACGAAGAGCCAGTAAGCAACGCTGAAGTCAGAAAGGGGATGAAGTCAGTGAAGTTCTGGTTTGAGGTGCACCATGGAGCAAATGGCTTTTTACTGACTAGACATCGGCACAAACTTGCAGTCGTACTGAGACGAGGTTTTCCAAATATACAGTAGCATGACAAAGCACAATTGCACCCTGAGCTTTCCACAAGGCTCCTGCTGTGCGTCTCCCACCCGGCAACGGCGGAGGAGCCCTGTCAACCTAATGTCAGTGTTGCATTTACAAACAGGTCCCATACATGCAAATATTGGGGCACTCCCAGCACAGGCATATCCCAGTTGTTTAGCTATACCGGGTAACTGAAACATTTTGTTTCCACTGTTGATCTGATGCAGGTTATTTTTCTGTTATTTGTTTCTGCTGCTATGGACTTCACGGTAGCTCTTGGAAAAAGAGTAAATCCCTGCCATGTGCAGCAAAAAGAGGACGCAAGCCTTGAACGATTTGTATTTGGCACTAATGGTAGCTGCCTGCTCAGCAGTGCTTCAGGGCAAGCTGGCACCAAGTTGCAGCAGAAGGTATCTACCAAGTGCCAGACCAGGCTGGGCTCAGGGAGCAGGGCCGAGTTATCTGGTATTTTCAGAACACAGATTCCCATCTGAGCCGTGTCACTCTGCCGTGAAATAATCTCCCATGAGTTTCAGAGCTGCTCCAGAGAGCTGCGCTGGCTCCGGTCAGCGTTTAATTGGATTGTAGTCTCATTTGCATTTAATGTTTTAAAAGGGCAAAGCTACAGCGAGTCTCTGCAAACCTGCCGGGGACACGGCAGAAGTGGGAGTAGGGTGGGCTCAGAATAGGAAGGTAAAGAGGGAACGATGACTTGATACCGCTGCATCGTAACACTAGAACAGCAGCAAGACAGTAAGAGCAAACGAGAGCAGGACACGGTGAGGAGCCCAGGCTGGTGGGAACTGTAACTCCCTTGGAGCTGTTAGGCTTTATGCAAGTCAAGACCAGGCACCAAGAAAACAGTGCCTCAGTTTTCTAAAACACTCAGACACACACACACACAACGTTGATAGATAAAGCCCAGCTTAACAAAATATTCTTACCCGGAGACCTGAGGCATTAGCAGTTAAAAAGCACTAAAGCCAAGGACAATTTGAACCAGCCTGTCCCCACCACTCCCGCTCCCACATTTGACTGCTCCCACCCCCTCTTCTGTGCCATCCCTACTTCCTACCCACACTCACCTGACTCCCACTAACCCTACAGAAGCCTCCCACAGATCTGCTCCCTACACCTATTCCGTTATAAAAATTAACATTTGGGTTTTTCACTATTTGGCAGAGCCAGCACAACAGGGAATCTTTACGGGCTTTTTGCATTTTCACCAAAATTGCCTGGGTCTTTTTTTCTGCTTAGAAGGGTATGAGCCACAGATAAGCCAACTTCCGTCCCAGGTTTCAGTTCAAGGTGGTAAGGTTTGTCAGTAGGCAAAACTTTCCTTGTTGCCCTGAACAATGGGAGCTGAAGTTGCCACCTGGCAAACACACAGGTTACCATAATGCCCACTGGAGCCACACTAACAGCAGCTCTGCGATTTGGATGCTTTCTCTGCAAACCATGTAACTTATCTAAAGAAGCTTGACGGGTGGCAAACTTGCTTATTACATTTCTTTCACTACTATAATATCAGCTCCCTCCCACAGCTTTTTAAAAAAAGGCAGGAAAAACTGGCTCGTTACACAAGTATCTGTGATGTTACATTGACATCATTTCCCAGGGAAGCAGATGGTGACTGGCGGAGAAGCCGCTTCAGGCTCCAGCATTGCTCTTTCCAGGAGCCTGTATTTACAGTTTAGCTACATACCCCAGCTGAAACAGGTGGGCTGAACTTCCATTGCATTCGTCCTTGTCTTGCCTTGCAGGCAGTGTGCAGGACAAACGGTTTCTATGCCATCAACGTGCCCAGCTGGTTCAGCCTACACAAGGTGGTCCAGCCCTTGGTGAAGCGAGTCTGCGACACCGATCGGCTGGTTTGCAGCAAGACGTGCCTCAATTCAGCTGACATTGGTTTTGTAATCGATGGCTCCAGCAGCGTCGGCACCAGCAACTTCCGCACAGTCCTCCAGTTTGTAGCCAACATCAGCAAAGAGTTTGAGATTTCAGACACCGACACGCGCATCGGAGCTGTTCAGTATACCTATGAGCAAAGGCTTGAGTTCAGCTTTGACAAGTACAGCACGAAGCAGGACGTGTTGAGTGCTATTAAAAGGATCAGTTACTGGAGTGGTGGGACCAGCACGGGAGCAGCCATCAGCTATGCCTCAGAGCAGCTGTTCAGCAAATCCAAACCCAACAAAAGAAAGATCATGATTCTCATTACAGATGGCAGGTCTTATGATGATGTCAGAGTGCCGGCCATGGCAGCTCACCAAAACGGTAAGCTCTTCTATTGTCAGCTGCTCTTCCTACATGCCTCAGCATTTATCCAGGTCAGAGAAATGCAGTTTGCTACGATTTGAAGGCACTGGATGGAACTTCAGGAAGGAAGAGTAGCACCTAACCCTGGGGTCTCATCGAGCTCTAAGCAAGACCAGTGTCTATTTAAAATCTGAATGAGGACCTTCCAAAAAAAAAATTCACATAAATCTAGCAAAATGCAGCTACACATAGGAGATCTCAGGGGATTTCTACTGTCGTAGTAACACGTGAAGCCTCCTTTGGCTTTCCAGTCAGGATAATCATACATCTTCCAACACAATTGTAAGACATTTGCATTGGAGCAAGAACCTGTTGTCCAGACCCAGAGCTAGAGCTTTACTATTGTTTAAACTTTTTTGCTGTTGGCAAAAGGTACTTCCAAAGCACAAACCAGGCGTTTCCTCCAATTTGAAAATGCCATTTTTATACAAAGAGAGAGAGAGTGTGCTGCAACTGACTGCCCACATTTTTGTGGCCTGGCAACTATGTTTGCTGTATTGGTCTTAAATCAAATTTAAGCAATGACAACTTTTATGCTTGTTCTAAACTCTGGGTTTCTTTCCAGGAGTTATAGCTTACTCCATCGGAGTTGCTTGGGCAGCCCAAGATGAACTGGAAGCCATCGCAACAGACCCCGATAAGGAGCACTCCTTCTTCGTGGATGAATTTGACAACCTCTACCACTTTGTTAATCAGCTCATCCAAAACATTTGCACAGAATTTAATTCCCAGCCACGGAACTGATGGACTCGAGGAAGGCAGAACCCTCAGGCGCCATGCTGAAGGCACACCAAGTGCCACAGGACTAATGCCAGACCTCAGTTCAAGAAATACTGGAGGTGTTTTAATCTGGCACTTTCCAGTCAGCAAGGTTGATTGCAGCTCTGTCCCTATGCATGATAACGCTCTGTGTAGATTGTTGATTTTTTTTTTCCCCCTTGCAGGCTTCAGAAACTCTGATTTGGATGGATAGTAAAAGAGGCAGTAAACATGGAGGAAATAACTGGACCTGTTTGAAAAGCTGCTTCCAGCAGAGGGGCCCAGCTTGTCTGATTCCCACCTTTGGGCACACACAAGCTCCTTCAAATGTACCACCTGCTTCCTGAAATGGCCAGGTGCCTTCAGGGAGCAGCCACGCTGCTTAGCTGCTGTGGCAGAAGCACCTGCGTGTGGCACTGCCTGTCAGTCGGCACCCAGGTCAGGGCTGAAGAACCAAAAAAAAAAAGGGGGGGGGGGGGGACACGACTCAAATTTGAGTACCATCTTAAAAGCAGGCAGTCTCTCTCGTACAGCTGTCTTGCCAGCAAATTAAGCTTCAGCTAGTGTAAACTCAAGCATTGAGATTTATCCAAACCCAGAGACTTGGAAAGCAAGCGAGAGGAAAGAGTCAAGCTGTGGGACCCTACAACCGTTTGCCAGCCCCAGTAAAGCCCCAAATCCACAAAGCAGCCAACACGCAGGAACTGGAATCTAGTCTCCTACAGCACTGCATTAATATTTGATTTTGAGAAGTGTCTTGTCCCCTTAGCTCACCTGCTCCACTCTTGTGCGGCTCATGGCCTGCAGGACCACAGGAGAGCTGCCGGGACAGAGGAGACTCTTTGAGAAAATTGTGGGTTTAAGTTGCTTGCGATCGGAAAAGCGTTTGAGACCCACCGTCCTATCATTAAACCACAGCTCAGAACAGCTTACAGCAGTCTCTAGTGTGAGGAGAGCTATTCAAGAGCCATTGACAGGATTTAAGAAGGAATTATCTGAAGTTCTGTATTATACTGGGAAAAGCAGTTTTTCGAGCATTTACAGACACCCTCTCCCAAATTTGGGATTGACTTTGTTTTATGGATTGATTTCAAAACGAACCTACCAGAGCCCTGGATTATTCAAAACACACTGTTGTTTCTTAAGTGAAGAACTAGCCATATCACTAGTCAGTAGGGGAGGAGTGACATGTTAAGAAGGTCAAAAGAACTACACTTTCATTAGGAAGCAGCAGTTGCTGGTTATGTTTCCATCCAGTATAATTTAAGAAAACATGTTCATTAAGCAAAGTTATCGAAGGAAAGGGATGGAGTTTCAGAGCCAATAAAAACGTGCGTGTTCATGCACCTTACGGCAATCAAAGCCACACCGCGTCAGGCTTACAGAACTAACAGCAAGAAATTAAAACTCAAATTTCACGTCTTACTCACAAACCAGACTTTTAATAGCCTTCATAGTTTTAATAAATAACCATGACCCAGGATGTTTATTGTTCACATAAAAACATTAATTGAAGTAAATTGCCATAAGGGAGACTCCTTTCTGTCAACAAAAGTAGCACAATCTTTTAAATCATTACATTTGGAAATGTGACTGAAGTAGCTCAAAAATTACCAATGAAGTAAGCACAATGCAAACTAACGAGAACGGCAGATTCTGCATGATGCCCCTGGTGTGGTAACATAAGCCAGGCTAGGGTCTTCTCAAGAGGTTATCAAAAACAATCCTGGATGAAACAGTGGTTTTACACAGGGAAGGTTCAGATTTTCCTCTTAGAAGAAACATTCAGTTCCAGCTTTAACTGAACATCATCAATACAATAATGCTACCCAGACAGAAGACGCAAGGCACTGCCAGCTTCCAAAAAAAAGCAAAACAAAGACATAAAATATATTTGTATGCAGAGGTTTTAACGCTAATCTGTGCTGCTGCACTTCCACAGCAATAGTCTCTTGGCTTGAAAAAAGTAAAGATTAAGGATAGAGAGTTAAGTAGAAGCAGAGCAACCCCTGGTACGCCCCACCTCCTGACCCACCTCCCTTGCTACCGTTCTGCTGAAAGCATCTTTCTCTGTCAACAAGGGACATTACATGGGCTGGACAAATCTCAAACACAAACTGAATTTACTAGGGACTTCAGACACTGGATTTATTGTCTGAAAACCTGTTTGCTTGGGGTTTAAGTTGGGGCTAGCTGAGAAAAAGTCCCAAGTCTTAACTTTTAGCTACTCTTAATATTGTGGCTTAATTTTTAATCCAACATCTTACCACCGCACATTGTTTTCCATACTGGCCATACTCTTGCAGCACAGAAGACTGGTACTCTGCAGAGACTCCCCAGTGTTCAGCTTGTGCTCTGCTGAAAGCACAGCACAGACGGCCGGGACATTAGGAACAGTTAGAGCCACATGTGTTCTTTAGGATATGCATTTTAATTTCTTCCAAAACCTTAAACTTCAAGCAATGACAGTGAGCTTTCAAATGCTCTTTCACAGGGAAGTTGCACAGCTATCTTCTGTGTCAAGCATTTATAAAGGGCACTTCGGGGTTTGTTGTTGTTTAAATGGTTTATCTTACGTTTACAGAACAACTATGGCGCTTGCTTGCCAATGTGCATTTTTATTAACTTCTCGGGATGACCTTGAAATTGTTGGATCTCAAAGTGTGAAAGTGGTTTAATGTTTAATCCGACTCTCATCTAAACTTAGATGTCCTATTCATAAACACTGTAAACTTAAGCGTAAGCCTCAGAACTTGTAAGAATACACCCTTCCATTAACAAAAGCAAGCGAGTGGATCAGCACACCACACACTCCTCTTAACCTTTACCTTTCATAGCAATCAAGATACTTGCCATCTACTAAAGTCTCTAAGTAGTGTTTTATTAAAAAACAAGATAACTTACGTATAAATCTTCATAAACGTTCGAGGGGGTATATTTGTTTGAAGAAAGCAGCAGAACTCCTTCTGTAACATATACAAGCTATTTTGAGCTTATCAATGCAAGTTGCTATATCTTTTGCAATAAAATTGTCCCAAAGGCATATGCACTACATGTCATCTCGTATGTGGTTAAAAAATAAACACCAAATATGGTCCATGCCATTTTAGTTTCTGAAACACAGATGAGGTTCTTACCAGATTACGGAAAACCTAGCAAGGTTGGTAAAGCCCCAGGTGCTTCAATGTCATCTTTTTACATGCTCAGCTGAAAAAAAGCCTGAAAGCGAGCTAGCAGAGGAACAAGCACCAAATTACCTATCAGAGGAATCCGCCATTGAAGCAGAGCCTAATGGCTGAAAGGCATCAAAATCATATGTACTTTCCCAAGACTGCAATATCACATCTTATTTGGAACTAGACTTCTTTTGGAAGCTGAAAAAAAATTAACACAATCTCTATACACTTTCTAGATGCAGGGCTGAATCAAAGAGGATCTAGATGTCCAGAAGCTTGATACTGGGCCGCTTAGTTTCAGATGCCTGACCACTGGATACATAGCCAAAAGGGGGTTGTCCGATCACCCTCTTCCTAGGAAATAAGCATCTTTGCACTCAGGAGTTGGGCTGGTGGCTTATCACTGCTCAGCAATCACAGTGCAGAACACCCACCTGGAAATAAATACTGACATCCATGCTCTGAAAGCCATGGGGGAGCTCTATGACAGCACCTCTTGCCTCTAACTCCAGCATTAGCTACTCACATTCTGGGTGAACAACCAAAGTTCAAGTCAAAGTTCAGCCATCTCTTCAGAGAGAGGTACCTCAAACCCCTGTTTCCCAGCACTATCTTACCTTGCTGGTCCAGAGGTGGGACACTCAGCACCTCTGCCTGTCACTGCCACCCTGCACAGAAGGCATTGCCTGCTGTGTGCGCCTTCTTGCTCCTCAGCTGCTGCCACTTTGCTGGTTCAGCAAGAGGAGGGTTTCCTCCAGCAGCTGCTGAATTTTGCTTTCCTGACAGGTGGGCAGGCAAGTTTCCCCTTCCTCCTCACGTTCCTCCCGCCATGGCTCTCCAGCACATGAGGGGAACCGTTCCAGTAACCAGGAATAAGTCTGGGGTTAAGCATCCAGACAAGACCAACCCAATCTAAATGTCCTTAGTGGATTTAACACCCTACCTGTAAACTCCACAGAAAATTATCCACGTTATCTACTTTACAAGTCAAAGCAAGCAGCAAATACCAGAAATACTACCTAGACAGCAAACACTGTCAGTCTTCGGTGGTATACATACCTTAAATTACTTCATGGTTGAACAAAGTCACTCTGTCATTCTTCTAGTTATTTTTCTCTGCTCATCAGCAACATTATGGAAACAACTTGGTCCCTTTCTTTCCATTCCCATCTCAGTTTGAGAAGTCTTAGACAGGCCATCTACACTTGCTAAATCACCTACATATTGAAAACATTGCAAGTGTACATCTATATAGCTGAGTGCCTCAAATTCCTCAAAGTAGTCCTTTTTTTTCCTTGTTAAAAACTTCAACTGGGGGGATATCGCAGGTTTTAGCACTGCCATCAGCTACATCACTCACAATCAGCTGTCAGTCATACTGAACGGCAAGAGAAACGTGTTATTTTCCTTAACACCAGTTTAACTCTTCCTCTGATTTCTAATAAAAACTCTGATAACGCAGCTCAAGAACTCCAATACTCACTCATAGAAATGACTTCTTTTTAAGCACAAAGAGAAACGGTAGTTAAAAGTTTCACCACATGGCCAAAGAGAATATGCTTACTTTGCTCACACCCAAATCATTACAGGGACACGTCTTGTTCATAGGCAAACCCATAAGGATGTTAGGAAGGCCTCCCATGTGGGAAGGTCACTCCTATATTGTTTGTGAAATCCTTCTCCCTACTTCAGGAGTCTTCTACTGACCCTCCCTGGAGGAAGAACACTGGGGTGAATGCAACTGTATTGTCATTTCATAAAGCAATTCCTGGGAGGAGGGAAGATGAGTAGGACTAAATCAGAAGGCTT